GTCATTCCCTATTTCAGAGTCACCACTTTGTTCTGGGAGCACTTTCCTCTCGAATGACGCGCGATTTGCTGGATAAAGTTAACAATCCTGGTGGTGTATCTTCCGCTTCTATATTTGCTCCACAATTTTCCGCAGCATATACGGATGATGATGAAGAGGTTCATCTTAAATAGCGATTTAATGTTGTTTGCACTCAGTTTATAGTAATTAATGAACTAATTTCCGTCTTTGAAGTGTTGTTACTCTTTCTATTAGCTTATTCAGGGCGCGATAATGACAATATCGCGAATTAAGTCACGCGGCCGTGCTTGTCCTCGCGCTGCACAAGACGCAATACGTGTATGTGACGATGCAAATGCACTTATGGCACGCATTTGGGGAGAGCCATCAACTTCGGAAATCTCCGTAGCAAATTTAGGCCGACGTTATCACGAGGTTTGTTTTTCATTATAGTTAGCGGTTAAAGCAGTGTTAGTTATAATACATTCTGCATAAGATTTACCAACACATGTAAATTTTTCGTTTATGTTTAAGGATCGTACTCTTCCTGCTAAGGAACATCCGCCATTACCAGATGTTGTGCAAGCCTTATCTTTGCTTAATGATAATGATGGTGTTATACATGATGTAGATGATGGAACCCTTTGTTCATCAGAACAGATTAATGGTAATCTTTTTAAAACCCTTTGTTCGTCAGAACAGATTAATGGTAATCCTTTTTAAAACTAGTTTAAACTCTTATTAGTACATCCTTTCTTTCTTTGTTTCTTATTAAGGACAACTATGACATGAGCTAAAAATTCTTATGTCACAATTATCCTTAATGAGAACTTTTTTTGCTAGTAATAAAGGAAACTTTGAAATTCTTCTACAATGTTACTTCAGGTTCTTCGGGTTCGGATTTTTTTATGCCCCAACGTCCACCACGTACTAAACAGCCGGTAAAGCGATGCTCATCATTCGAATCATCACATTCTGATCCATATTTAAATGAGCAAGTTAGACATCGGATTAATGGTTGCGCAAGTTATGTTCTTCAACGACCTCAGACCTGTTTCGGATTGCCACCAACACCGAAAGTATTTTGCTGAATTATAAATTTAAGCAAACATAACTATTAACTTATGCAATTAAAAATTCTTCATTTGAAATCTGCTTATGAGTTTTAGAAAACTTTCATTCCTAATTTGTGTAGGTCGCAATGGGTGCATGTTTTTCGCTTATCTTCCATGATTGTCCGTTACATATAAATAGTACTGCAACATGGATTCATCCGAATACTTCACGACAGTTTTTATTAATTGGTGCAGAAGAAGGAATTTTCACATTGGACATGGGTGAACTGCATGAAGCAGCAATGGTTTTGATACACAAACGACGTTGTTCATGGTTGTATGTGCAGAAAAATATTCTGATGGCTGTACAGGGTTTGGTTTTTCACTCAGTTTTTAATTGTATATTGTTTCAAAATGAAGTTGAAGAAATGCGCGTCATGTTTTGATATAGCGACATTTATCCGCGGAAACTATAGAAAATTAGGAAAGAGGTTATTATAGCAGTCAGACTGAGTCAGCAAAAAATTCGTTTGCTGAATCTTTGAAATTTTTGAGTAAAATTTTAGGAAGAACTCCCTACCTTTATCGTCACGATTTAGTTGCTTTATCTCAGCGAAATCTTACACAAAGGATATCAAAACCGATGAATAAAATTCCTGAGAAGTATTTACCAAAGAAACTTGCTATAACTACACGCTTACCCGAAACAAAGTATGCTTTTGAATTATGATCTTTATTTTGATGTTATCATCAGTTGCAGAAATATGTAGCACTATTTGGTAGTTTGAAAAAAGTTGGAAATCCGAATTTCAGATGAATTGCAAATTCTTAGAATTCTTCTCAAGTATGCAATGACTAACTTATAGAGATGTTATCCACTGCAATGTAGCTCGAAGTGGTGTGAATGGTAATGTATATCTTTGTTGTGCAACACCATCTGCTGTAATATTATTCCAATGGTACGAGCCATTGGCTAAATTCCTAATGCTGAAAACAGTCGAAATATGCATTCCTCACTTCCCACTTCGACCGTTTCAATTGATATATTCTGCGGGAACAGATGCTGATTTTCCAAAAGTATGATTTTAAAGTATACATGAAGCATTTTTCAATATTTTTGTGCTGAAAAATGGAAGTAAATTTATAAATCAAAAAATCATTTTATTCGGTAACAAGTAACTATATGCATTCCATTTTTAGGTTTGTTTGGCAGTACACAAAGGGGTAGGACGTAAATTTCATCTTCAGTATGTAAATTTTAATGACGAAAGCGTGCACTGTGACTTGGATGAGCAGGATCGAACAGAAGCAATTTGTCTTAATGTTGTAGCATTAAAGCAGATTGACAGGGTAAGTTTTTTTATTTTACAGATCTATGCTATGTTTTGAAATTGATTAGAGCTCTAAGCAGCAAGGTTCACCGGAGTCATTCATAAATGATTTCCCAGGCGGTAGAAATATTTGCTACTCTGACAATAATGTTGCTTTCTTGAAAGATATTATTTTTTCGTTTGGAGTTCGCTTTTTTCCTGAAAAAATGTTTAGGATGCATTGTTATTGTGCTATGAGAATCGATGTGTTGTGATCAATCAGAACGGAATTATTAAGTCATCTCGCCTTTCGCCAGCGCAATTCAAATTTGGTTTTCAAATTGAAAATCTTGTTTCGCTTTCGGATTCAATTCTTGCTTTTTATCCACATGGTGTACAGGTATTGAAATAACATTAAAGTTTTCATCAATGCTTACGAACATAAGAATTGGAATTGTAAAAAAACTATAAAATGAGGAAAGAATAATTTAGGAAAAAATGGAAATAGTACATTACATTTAGTTTCAGGGTCGCGCATTTGTTGATGGCGCAATCACGCAAGATATCAATGATCCAAATAATGTATATCAAGTTGTAGGAAGCGATAAGTAAGTTTTTACGAGATTGATAGGCAAAAAAGGGCTATACATACGATAATAAAAAAGCATACTGGTGATTAAAAGCCTGTGGGATACCTTACTTTCGAATTTGACGAGAATTATTACTGTTTTATTCCAGCCATTATTCCAGCAATTAAATCAATATATTTATCCTTCCAGACTGGTAGTTTTAAAACGGAGAGAAACGTCTGCAGCAGGAGATTTGTGTGATTTATGTATTCTTACTGGTCATGAGAGTACTCTGGCTGGTTAATAGTGGTCTCTTACTGCAAACTGGTTTAGTCGTTCCAACGATATTTGTGTTAATTTTTTTCATCAACAGGTTTTTGTTTTAACAAATGTTTAGTCTTCGCGGAATAAGTTCAATGGATTGATTTTTTTCCTCCTTGATGACCAAAATTATTTGAAGCTCTAATTCTAAGGCATAGTTAGAGGTAATTAGTATGCGTGTCTGTAATTGGTTTGCATACGATGAAAACTTGCAAACAGCAGTTTACGTTACGTAAATGAATTTTGCAGTATTTTTTTGATTTTTTAAAACAGCCTCTAAAAAAATGGCGTAAAATAAAATTACAAGATTCAGTATGAAACTGCGCACCTCTATCGGTGATATACATATATATATCTTGCTTTCGAAATTGTCGTTTTTTATCTCTGCTACAGTCATCTTTGTGATAGCGAGTACTGCAGTGTAAGTGTTGTGATAATATTCTGTTTGGTGCCATTTATTTGGTTAACAGAAAATTAAATCGGTCTTAGGAGTTTGAATAGTTATTGTGAAATACTATGAAACAATATGTAGAATCTTTGAAACTTATCGGCCTAATATAAAACGATGAAACTTATCGGCCTAATAACTGAAATTGACAGTTGTTTGAGAGCTCTTTCTTGTTGCTAAGTATTTTGTTGCTCGGGAGAATTTTCTTCTTAATGTAATTCATTCGTTTTTTTCTCGATTTTGGTAATTTGCAATTTTTATCTTTCCCTCACATGCGGAATGTATTCATGTATAGTTCAATTTTCGCAACTTTTTCAGCTCTATTGCTTTTATTTAATTTTGTAGAATTGAAATTTAAAGTATAAAATCAGCTTTCAAAGCAGTTCGATATATCTGTCCGAGTCTTCTTACAGTGGGAGTTGAGGTGGTTTAAGTGGATCCAATTCGTTGATGGGAATTAGGCTATTTAGATGGACCAATTAAATGTTCATATGTAATCATTACCGCGATTAATTCCAACTTTTTTCTCTTAACTCATTTTTTACTGTTGAAAGTTCTCATTTTATAAGTGATCATTTGTTATACTACATATTTTAAAATAAATTATTTAAAATACTTAAAACAGCCTTTAGTGTAACGCCCCATCGAACTGATCTGATTTCGAAATTAGAGTTCTGAATAGTATGAGACCAAAAAATAATGGAGGAACTCAAATTGAATCAATTTTTAAATTCGGCTTAACTCTACGGTTTTTTTTTCGACAAATGTAAGATATAGGGGAATCGAGACCATTTTCCCATGCGTTAATAGGTGTGTTTATATTCGAGACTTGTTTTCTCTAGAATGCCACTTGCTTCCAAAATCTCCGGAGAGACATGAGAGTTTCTTGCCAACTGCTAAGCGAGCTCAGTTTATTCAGCTGAATGAATTTATGCATGGTGAGCGTGTGGGATACTCTTATGTCGCAGCTTCAGGTTTGTAGATTTCCTGAACTGACTCGGAGTTCTATCATTTGGTAAAATATGAGACATGAATATGATACGAACAAATGATACAGCTACCAGTGAAAAAAGCATAGATTAATTGGAACAATGAATTAATTATTGACAGAACTAAGTCAAGACAAAGGACATAAGACCTGAAGAACTTATATGTGTGTGTACATTGGATAAATTTAATAAATGTCGAACCAACGAAAATATGAAGCAAATGAAAATGATTAACATTAAGAATTCTCTATCTAAGGTGGAAAGTAAGTCACCGTGAACTTCTAATTTCAAATTGAGTGATACAAAATTTAATGTCGAGTTTTATGGTGCCGAATATAAATAAAGCCAAAAATAGCAGTAAAGGTTGTCAGCAAGCCCAACACAGACCAAACAGACATCGGATGGCCATAAGCTACAGCTGAAAGTAATATGGAAAGTATCTGCCGCAGTGTCATCATCACCGTAAATATCATCGGCCCAAATCGTTCAATGGTCACATAAATTACAACCTAAAGAAAATTTCATGATATCAATCCCTTAAAAAACACAAGAATTCAAATCTTCTTGATGACTTGAAAAGTTATGTCTCGAAGTGTAAAGGTTGCTTTTTATTTAGAGGTTAATTTAAAAAACCTGGAATGAACTGCTAAAGAAATTATAAGTGGAACTACTAAAGCAATTTGAATGAAAAAATTACTAAGTAGTAAAGATATAAATAACTCAAAAAAAGAAAAACAGAATTTCAGATGAAAACTGATACTCTGCACGACCCTATGATTTCCGAAGTACTGAATCCATGAACAAAAAAGTATTTCACGTGGGAAAATAACTAAGCATAAATCTGCTCACTTTCTTTAAAAAAAGTTTCAAATAAACCTGTCCCAAAGCGCCCGACAAGGACAATAAAAATATATCACGGCCAAATCCTTCGTGAGTGACTAAAAAACGGAATGGTAACAGAAACGTTCCTTCCTCGATAAGTGTTATAAAGCACAATATCATACTGAACATATTTACGCAAAACATCATCTGAAGAACGATAAATGAATGAATACGATTTAAATTTAATATTCAAAAAATGGGATGCTTATGTTTATTATATTTAATTTCTCCTCTAAAAAAAATGTTACTGCACAACTTCGATTATTATTAAATAAATATATTTATTT